CACAAGAACAATAAATAACCAAAAAATGAGATTTTTACCTAATTATACTATATTAGAAACTTACTTACCAATATTCTCTATATTTTGCAGTTTTTAATAAGTATCTAGGTTTTTCTTACAACTTGTATACATTGCTTCTTAAAAGGCTCACACCCCATTATTAGTGAATTCAATTAAGGGATTCTATTATATCATTTCCTTTTTTCCTCTTCTCCCCTTCTCTCTCCTTTTTTTAAAAAGTCAAAATCCCTTAATCTACATCCAGAATTTCCATCTTCTCTCTTCACCATTGCCTACAGCTTTATATTATTAAAACTATTCAGAAATTGTATGATAAATGTATCATAATTGTAGTTGAATTGTATCAGATACATGAATGCCTAAAACATAAATGTATCATACTTGTATCACAATTGTATCTAACTTGTATCTGGTACATTAATACCCAAAATAATACCTGATACACTACTAAAAAATTAATATACAATTATCATATTTGTGATACAAATTGTGAAATTCGTCACGAATTCACAACTGCTCGTAAAATATACAATGAATATACAATTATCATATTTGTGATACAAATTGTGAAATTCGTCACGAATTCACAACTGCTCGTAAAATATACAATGAATATACAATTATCATACATTTGTAATACAATTCCTGCAATAATTATGATACATATACAATTATAATACAATCGCGATATATTTCTGAAAAATTGTGATACAATTATGATCTTTATTTTCCTCAAGTTTCAATCACAACTCTACACTAAAAATTTAATATAATGGTATTATAATTGTATTAGTATTGTATCCACCACTTACCCACAACTTGATTGTAGAGCAAAATTTCGATTTTTTTCTGTATTGAGATTTNCAGTGGATGATTGAAAGAGAGAAATCGAGTAAGCGAGATTTTTGGGTTAGAAAGATTTTGGGCATCAGTGGGTAAGGAAGAATTCTTACGGTGGGTAAGTACAAAATTAGAAGATGTTTTTGTAATGCTTTGAAAAAATAAGAGAATCTTAAATGTAGGGGGATTATGTGTAACTGATACACTATATTTAAGGCATGTTGCATTTTCTCCTTTTTATAGTTTTGTATAAAATTAGTAAATATAGGTATATAAAGTAATTAACAAGGAACCTAAATAAAGATAGTAAATAGGTTTCTATTATTGTATAGCTAGGTAAAAATCCCCAAAATAATATGCCCCAAACTAACCGGCCAAACAAGATAACCTCGCGCCAAAAAGCCCAAAACGTATTTTATAAGTAGTAAACGAGAGTAAAGCCAAATCCCATTGTGTGAAAAACCAAAAGTTTCACTCGAAATGGAAAAAAAAAAAAAAAAGAAGGCGGCAAAAATGTTACCGCAATTATCCAAATAGCCATGAATTGTTCCTGTGAAGGTTGCTCCGAAAGAGTTCTCAAATGCGCTCACGATTTGCATGGTAATAACGAATCCGATATTTTAATGTATAAATTTGCTTCGAATCAGCTAGTACACTTTTTGTTTCCGTTTAAATTTATTTTTTGATTTTCCTCTTTTCTAATTTCCCTGAGAAGACCTGAATTCATCCATAAAGATGGAGGAAAATGAAACGGCATATAAGGCGACGCTGGTCGGAAAATTTGATCCGGTGAAACTCCTGCAGAAAATCGAGAAAAAACTGAAGAAGAAAGTGACGCTTATTTCACCTAAGCCGGATAAAGAGGAAAATAAGATTGACCGGAAGCATAAATGCAAGGAGGTAATACGCTACACACTGACTGAACTTTCTACTCCGTTCCCGGCACAATTTACGCCTTGAGCATTTTAGTTAACTGCAGAAAGCATTTTATCTGTTTCTCGATGAATTGAATTGAATTGATTCAGAATTGTATTTTCCATAGCTTGTTTAATTCGTAGTATGTTAATTGTTAATATTACGGATTGATTCTCAATTTGTACGTATTTGAGCTAAATACGGAATTGAAATCACTACTCTGTTACCGGCGAATTTTGCACCGTGCGCATTTTAGTCAAATATGGGAAGCATTTTTATCTGTTTCACCCAGTGAATTGAATTGATTAGGAATTACATTTTCCATTGCTTGTATTCGTTCTATCTTAATTACTACTACTTATTACTAATATTATCGACCGATTCTCATTTCTCGATTTGTTCAACTTTTCTTGTTTGCTCAATTTCCGATCGAACAGCCTTCAGTGACAACTGCAGTATTTAAACTCCCTCTGAACTGCGACGCATGCAATGAGCAGATTTACAAAATTATCACTCGAACCGGAGGTAATATAGCATTATCGAACTCGTCGCTGATATATTTCGTGCAATTTCAAACCACAAAATTCGACTCGCTACGTGTTGATCAACGACTAAAATACAGGATGCAGGAACATGAAAATGGATTGGGAAAAGAATTTGGTGACTGTAACGGGAACGATAGATGTGAAATCCTTAGGGGAATCACTGAGATACCACCTGAGGAAAGATGTTGAAATTTTGACGTTGAAGGACAGCAGAAGTGGTGTCTACCTGCCGCAGTTTGAATATATGTACCGGTGCTCAACTATGTGCAGGTCGGTGACAGCTGGAGATTTGTATCACGCTGCGGAGGGTTCAGTGATGAGAATCCAAATGCTTGCACAATTCTGTGAATAATTTTGGTAAGTACAAGAAACTTCTAGTATATGATTGCATATACTCAAATGATTAATTACCTAGATTAGCAAAATTCATGCACTGTATCTGCTAGTAGTAATGAGAGATTTCGTTGATTTTGTTCTGTCCGATTAAAACGCATTTTTGTGTCTATAGCAGGTTTCAAAACTTTAGTTCCAATTGAAGGTTAGATTTGTGGTGTATTTTGCTCATTGTTAAAAATTGAATGGTGAACAAATTGAAATTTAATTTTCTTAGTTTTGGTTAAAGGAAGGATTGAGATTGAACAATGATAGATACTTCTAAATTTATGAGACCAAGCCCATGATGATCAATTAAAATTTTTGGACGACCTGCAATTACATGAAACCAGAATCAGGTAGTCAATAAAAAGGCATACTTCTTCAACCGAATGTTAAAGAGTAAACGTTGGTAATGCAGATAATATATAGCTTTGGACAACACAGGTAGTCGATTTTCCGCATAGAGGAACTATGCAAAAACAGTTAGCAACTACTCGAAATGTTTGATAAGAGTGCATACATTTTATCAGGCAGTTTGAAACTAATGGTGTCTACGGTAATCCTTCTCCCTTGAAGAATAATGATATTTTCGTTTCTCTAAGTGATCTTTCTCTCTTGAGTCTTGAACGATGACTCCTTTTCGTGGATTTATCCGTGTCCCTTTCAATGTCTTCTCGCTCCCTTTTTCTATCAAATTCCCTTCCCCTATCACGTTCACGAAACTTTAGCCTTTCCTTATCCCTCTGTCTTTCCCTGTTCCTATCTCTATCCTTGTTCTTTTCTGCACCAGCATCTGTTCTATGATCAGTTTCTGCATGCTCTTCTTTTGACTCCTCATTACTCGTCTTTGAGTCCTTCAACTTATCAAGAGCAGCTTTTAATATTGCCTCTTTAGCCACTTCTTGGCTTCTATTCAACGTAACAATCGAGCCTCCTTCCTTGCATACAGGGATATATTGGGCTTTTGGAAGACTGTAAAGATGAGCGAGAACTCTGCAAACTTCATCAATGCCAGCCTTGTCTACATCAAACACTTTCCACCAAGGAGGATTCTCAGGGAGCGACACGCGACATCTACGGGCTGCAACATATACAGCTCCACAGGCCACAACCTCACTCTTGAATCTTACACACAGTGTTGTGCGCAAACTATCATTTGCAAGATTCCATGCCCTTTGTACCAATTCTGTTTCGGGTGTTAATTCAAGAGTTGCACGGTAAATTGATAACAATTTATGAGGATGCTCCACATGGCCGATGAAACCCAATCTATTAGAATATGCCTCTCTGTCCTGATTAGGTCTGCTTTCATATCATCATATTTTTTGGAAGATGTATCAAGATGCTCTAAGGGTAAGTTTTCTCTCCTACATTCCATTCTGTGGAAAACATTAAGTCCCTCACTTGCTTTCACAGGAAGTTCTTCGAACTTCGATGCAAGCCAAAACCAACCAGCAGCTACTCTCTTCACATTAAAACGGGCAAACGATTTCTTGCAGTAAAAACGATGAAATAGTACTTGTCCAGTTGACATTACAACTTGGGGTAAATTGAGCAAAATCCCACTTTCTTGGATGAGATCACAACCGTGGATTCTAAGTGTGGTCTCTGTAACTTCGTCGATTCCATCTTTCCGTGAAGGCGAGTTTTTAATCTGCTCGTCTGTTAGATAAAATGTGTCCATTATCGCCGTGTAAATCATAGTAAAAGAATAATCCCCTGTACAAGCTCAAAAGTCCTTTATGTGGTTGATTGAAAGAATCAAAGAGGGTGGAAGATGGAGCAAAGCTAGTTGCTATATATGGTTTATTTCGGAGTATTTTAATTAATGTGGATAGAAAAGGAAAATTAAGTCCACGAAGGGATAGGAGATGGAAAATAGGATTTCTGTTATACATATTACTTGCTTAATTATGTATCCGTTCATTAAATGAAATTACTTGGGGAGGAAGTCATGAACTACTCTAGTTATTTTGGAACTAAGTTGTTTACTTGGTTACAAAGCTACTTACTTGGTCACCAAGCTATTTTTCGTCGTATTTTTTTTTCTCGAAAACAAAGACTTCATATTAGTGCATCAACGAACAACAAAGTTCAAATGTACTCTTTGCATCCTGGACAACCCAAGTTGGAAAAAAACTTCTCCCGGGAGATGTCCTTCAACAAAGAAATAAAAAATTTAGCTAAATTATGAACTACTTTGTTTAACTTCCTTGGAATATAAAGAAACTCAACGTGATCAAACATTCTTGATAGCTTCCAAATGTCTTCACACAACACTTCTATCTCCTATGAAGTAGCCACCTATTTTTGGATCATATCAACAACATTCTTAGCATCAGATAAAATCTTCACACTTTTCCATCCAAGAGTAATAGCACATTCAAGTGCCTTTCTTATGGCAACCGCTTCAGCAGTCATGGTTTTCCCAACATACTGAATTGGGGATCCATGGGCATGAAGCAGTTTTCCAAGGCTATTCAAAGCCGCGACACCAATACTCGCATGTCTATCATCACACCGTAATCCTGCGTCTGTAAATAATAAAACATCATCTTGAAAATTGGTTAGTTTAGGCACAAACTCATTTCTAGTTGAATGTCGTGTAGCGAGGCAACTAGTTAATATATCTTTATATTCTTCATACTCAAAAGGAGTTTTAGAAACAATATCAGTTGGCTCTAACATTTCCTGATTAAAGCACCAAGAATTCCTACCTTTCCAAATTTGCCACATAATATTAACACTCAAATATAATAATTCTGTAGATTCAGGAAAATGCTTAGCATTTAAGAACAAGTTATACCACCACACAGAAAAGTCAGTCATGTTTTCAATATCAGGCAAATTAATAGGACTTTGTTTCCATACAAACTGAGATCGGGGACATCTAAATAGCATATGTTCTATATCTTCACTTTCAAGACCACAAATCTTACATGTTTTATCTAGGTTCTGTAATCTTTTAGCTAAGTTATAATTAACGGGCAAAGAGTTAACCACACACTTCCTTAGAAAATGTTTAAGTTTATTTTTAATTTTTAAGTTCCACAAAGAATCCCAGAAGCTTTTAGGAAAAGAATGACAACTCGCCTGGGCTTCCGAATTCCTAATAGTCTTACCTGTCAAACCCTTTGCTAAATAGTTACCTGACTTAACTTCATAGTTTCCAGATTTTGAGTGATGCCACAGTAATCTATCATTAAGACCTATGATGGATATTGGAATAAACAAAATTGCATCTACATCTTCAGGTTCAAAGGTCGTACTTATCTTATGAAGTTTCCAGGTATGCGTATCTTCGTCAATTAAGTCGGCAACCTTAAAATCTAAATTGTTTTGCATTTGAATACTTTTTGGAGTAAAACCATTATTTCTTGGGATCCAAGGATCGATCCAAACATTTATATTTTTCCCATCAGATATCCTCCATCTTAGTCCAGTAACTAATAGATCTCTTCCCCACAAAATACTTCTCCAGCTCCATGATCCAGTAGATGGTGTAAAAACGTCAAGGAAAGTTGAGTGTGGAAAGTATTTTCTTTTAAGTACTCTTGCTAACAATGAATCCGGGTATGACAATACACGCCAAGCTTGTTTAGCTAACAAAGCCATATTAAAAGCCTTTAAGTCCCTAAATCCTAAGCCCCCTCTTGATTTAGAATCACATAATCTTTCCCATCTCTCAAAATGCATCTTCCTTTTATCCTCGGTTGTCCCCACCAAAAGTTAGAAAAAAGAGATGTAATCTCCTTGCACAGACCATCAGGGAGTTGGAAACAAGACAAGGCATATGTAGGGATTGCTGCAAGTACAGATTTAAGCATTACTTCTTTCTCTGTTGTACTTAAAAATTTACCCTTCCATCCTTTTATTTTTGTCTTGACTCTATCCTTAATAAAATCTAACATCTTTTTCTTTGAGCATCCCATGATAGCTGGTAATCCTAAATACATACCCATCTCATTTATTTGTTGTTGTCCAAGTAAGGAACATATCTCTACTTTCTCCTCCTCCGTTATATTTCTACTAAAACAAATAGCTGGTTTATCTAAATTAACCACTTACCCAGAACTTTGCTCATACTTTCTTAGAATCTCAGCTACATGGACTACATTGTGAGCGTTAGCTAAACAGAATATAAAAGAGTCATCTGCAAAAAATAAGTGAGTTAAGTTTGGCCCATGTCTATTTAACTTTAAACCTTGAATTTCACTTTGAGTTTCAGAAGTCTTCAACAAAGTAGAGAAACCTTATTCACATATTAAAAATAGATAAGGTGATAGCGGATCTCATTGTCATATTCCTCTAGTCGGCCTAACTGATCCAACTACCTCCCCATTTATATTAAAACTATAAGTACGGGTGGAAATACATTGCATAATCCTTTCTACAAATCTGGCATGAAAACCCATTTGCAAAAGCAGTTTTTGGATATATATCCATTCAACTCTGTCATATGCTTTTGACATATCCAATTTCATCGCCATAAATTTCTCTCTACCTCTTCGTTTATTTTTTAGAAGATGCATAAATTCATGTGCTAAGATAACATTTTCAGTTATTTGTCTATGTCCAACAAAAGATGCTTGAGTCGGAGATATAACCTTAGTTAAATGATTTTTCATTCTTGTAGCAAGAATTTTTGCAATAATTTTATAAAGAGTAGAACATAAACTTATGGGTCTAAATTGCGATACCAAAGTCGGGCTTTTAATTTTAAGTACTAGAGTGATTAAAGTATGATTCCACGAAGGAATTAGGTATCCTGTAGTGAAGAAACTCTTAATAGCTTCATAAATCTCCTTTGATATAATATTCCAATATCTTTGAAAAAATAAAGGAGTCATCCATCCACACCTGGCGCTTTAAGAGGATGCATAGCGAATACCACATTCTTTACTTCCTCTTCGCTAATATCTTTTATGAGTTTTTGATTTATAGAGTCACTAATCGTTACATTGACATGATTTAGAACACTTTCGAAATTTGTCGGGTTAGATGTAGAGAATAGTGTATCATAATATGCCTCAACTTCTTGAACTATTTCAGTTTGATCACTCACCCACCTCCCTTCAGATGTTTGAAAACCCCTAATTATATTTCTTCTTCTTCTTTGTAAGGTTGCCATGTGAAAATAGGACGTATTTTTATCGCCATCCAGCAACCATAAGGCTCTAGACTTTTGTTTCCAGAAAATTTCTTCTTTTTTGTAAGCTTGGCTTAATTCCTTTTTTAACACCCTAAGTTTATTCCAATCAAAATTATTAGCATCACTTCTAAGGTCTGTAATCTGTTTCTTAATACTAATAATTCTCTTTTTAGCATTACCATTTCCTCCCCATACCCAAGCCACTAAGGATCAGTAGTCATTGGACCAAGCTTCAGGTACAATATTCTGAACCTCTTCACAATCAATCCACCTTTTATCAAAGTAAAAACGTCTTTTATTCTTAATTTGTTCAGCATGTGAAGAGAAAGTTAGCAAGGAATGATCAGAAGCCTCAGTATCAAGGTGAGTTACATTAGCCTCTTCAAACTTTGTTTTCCAATTAGGGGAGACTAAGACCCTATCTAATCTTTCCTGAATAATACCCTATTTTCCCAATAGCACCATCAGGTCCAAGGTTTTCCTTTGTAACCCAAGTCAATTGCACCTAAGTTCCAAATAAAATCCTTAAAGTCTCTAAAGGTCCAATTATCTCTAGTTCTTCCTCCTTGTTTTTCTGAATCATCAAGAATATCATTAAAATCACCAGCTAAGACCCAGAAGGTGCCCCAGTATGAAGATTTTTTAATTAATTCTTGCATTTGAGATCGATGATTAATTCTATCCGTACTTAGATACACAAAGATACACCGATATTTGCAATCAGATAAGACATCATGTATCAAAGTTTCAACACAAAAAGAAGAAGTGTGATATTGACATACCTGGATGTTATCATTCCTGAATAAGGCTAGTCCACCGGATAAACCCATTGGTTCCACAGTAATAGCATGTGCCATATCCAGTTGTCTCTGAACTCTTTGCGCTGTTCTATCTCTATTTTTTGTTTCACTTAAGAAAATCATATTTGGGGAGTGGAGACGCATTGTCTCCTTCAAAAAGGGAACTGTTAAGGACCTCCCCCCCCACCGGGCCTCTACAATTCCACACTAAAGCTTTCATTGTATGGAGGGAAGCCATTTAGGGTTGGCCTCCCGCTCCACCACTTGTTTCTGTTTTTCAACTTCCATTTCAGTATCAAAATTAGTTTGTTCTTTTCTTTTATCCCCCACAGTATGCATATTTTCCTCTATCACAGCAACTTCAATAAGATGATTTTCATTCAGACTTACCAAATTGTTTCCCTTAACATCATCAGAACAACCCTTAATATTAGCCTTTCGTTTCCATTGTTTTCTCTTTATGTCCCTTGTATTCTTATTAGTAATAGCACTAACAGTTAAAGATTTTTGTTTTGAATTATCGATTAGTTGTAAATTACTCACTATATGTAGTTGTAACTTAGGAGAGCTCACTAAAGGGTCTGGACATACCTTGTCTATGCTATCGTGCAATTCCTTTATTTTTTGGTTGCCAGTATCCTGTTGTAGGCATATAAATTTTATTAAAATTAAATCCATGAAATAATTTGGACTATATTTTAAATTCGAGATATATTATTCCAAATAAATATATGGGATAATATAATTGAATTAATTGTATAAGGTCAATATAAATGGATTAAATAAATAAGTCTTAATCCATTGGGCTAGCCCATTTAATTGGGCTAAAATGATGAGCCCACTTCATTAAGCCCAAGATGTCATCTTCCTAGAGGCTTAGTTTGGTGTCACGTGTCAAATGACGTGACACACCAATACAAGCGAAAGATCCAATAGGATCGTGCCACATGTCAAAATGACAAAGCGTGCCAAGTCACACTAAAAGGCCAATGAAATCGCGCCACGTCTGCAAGTAACATGTTCTGGCCAATCAAATGTGGCCATGTCACACTTCAATTTGATTGGTCGGAAAGAGTTTGTTCTTATCACAACTCCTCCCTTCCACAACTATAAATAGGGGTCTTCATAACTCAAAAAAACGCCAGAAGTTATAACAAGAAGCAAGAGAGAGCTCGTGGATCAAACGCCGCAAATTTCTCTACAAATTTCAAGCTTCAAGCAATCAAATTCAAGCTCAAGAACAAAGAACAATTCAAGTATTTAAGATCAAGAACGAAGTCAAATCAAATACAAGGCATTCAAGATCAAGGCTACTTGTTCGTGATAAAATTCGTGGTAACAATCAAAGTGTTCGCGACGGATAAATCAAATTCAAATTCAAGATCAAGCTCGAAGGCCTTTGAATTTATACAAGAAAAGTAGAATCAGAAGAATCATAGAGATTGTACACTCAAATATTAGAAATAAAATACTACAATTGTTGCAATATTTTCGGTCTTGATTTTATTTTCTCGATGCAAATTTATTGTTTACAAATTATGGCATGCCCAGTGGGACAATCTCTACCTCTCATCTCAACTTTTCAATCACCAAAGTCCAAGAACATTGAAGTGGCTTCAAGGAAAATCAACTCCAGTTCAACTTCCACCAAGGCTGCTAACTCCAGGTTCTATGCTGATGTGGAAAGCATCCTCGATGTTACCTTTGGAAGCTTCGGACCAGTTACGAGGAGAAAAGTGAGCTCTTTAGGACAACAAGAACCCCAAGTGTCGTTCGTGTCAACACCTATTTTCGGATCTTCATCCTCAAATGGAGCAAGATCTTCCACAAACGCACCTGAAGGAGGAAGCGATGTTGCTGAAAAGATCAAGAAAACGCTTGCTCTGCTTGGCCTCTCCGGATCCAAGCACTCTACTATGAAGGAAGATGATGATGCTTCAACTGATGGATCCTCCCCACTTATACCACATAGCGTGAGCCAATCAAGGATCAATCTGTGTGAAAATACATGCTACTCTCCGTCGTCCACGACAATCATGCAAGCCATGGTGACAAACACTTCATCTATGGAGGAGCAGTTGGCAAACTTGACGGAAGCAATCACTGGCTTGACCAAATGCATGCAAAATCAAGAGGCTAGAATTGACAATCTAACAGACAGGGTGGGAATCTTGATGGAAGAAGAATCCACCCATGCACCCGGCAAGCTCCCAGAAGTTCTAGAGAGTGACTCTCCTCCAAGACAAGCAGCATCTACTAAGGCTATCCCTGTCTCATTTGAAGGGATGATTCCAATCGATCAACTGAAGGAGTTCATTGAAGGAACCTTTAAGAACAAATATAAAGTTGCTGCCAAATCCTCCCTTACATATGCAAAAACGTACACTGTCTCGTACACAGTACGTCTCGTACTATAATGTTGAAGATGCCTGCTGGCTATCAACCTCCAAAGTTTTAACAGTTTGATGGTAAAGGTAACCCAAAGCAACATGTTGTGCACTTCGTGGAGACGTGCAACAATGCTAGGACTTATGGAGATTACCTCATCAAGCAGTTTGTCCGCTCGCTAAAAGGAAATACTTTTGACTAGTACACGAACCTTGAGGCTGGATCTATCAATAGCTGGGATCAACTAGAGCAAGAGTTCCTCAATCGCTTTTATA